TTGCGGTTGCATTCAGAACTTTCAACAACAAAATGACGAGACCTAACTGCCAATCTAGTGCTACGCTTAAATTAAGGGAGTCAAAACACAAAAGAAGAGAGTTCATCAGAACAATTGCCATGAAAAGATTTGTGGAATTGCTCCAGAGAAGCTACGATACAGCGGTGGGAAGGGGATGGAAGCCGAGATGCCTAGTTGGGACCAATAATATTGCAGATAGTTGTTTGGATTTTGTCCAGAATCGCTTATATAGTAGAAGCCCCAGATCAGATGTGGCAACAATATTTATTGCACGGACGAATAGTGTATTTATAAATGTACAAGGAGGATTCAGGTGAAAGGATATGTTTTACATGACACAGTGAACCAAATTTATAAGCAGCAAGCCATTGATCTGGTTATAGGCGCAGAAAGTTGGCAATGCGAGTTCAAATTCTGATACTTGCGTTTTCTTGCGAAAAGATAACCTTGGAAACGTATTTAGAGATTAATAGCCAGGCATACTGGGTTCTCTAACTTTTATTGACAACCAACCTAGGAGAAGGACGACTCACAATTCAAAATCGGTTGAGTGTAGGTATAGCTAGACAACACTGTAAAAACCACTTTTACGGAAACCACTACAGTAACACAGCATGATGAGGCTATGTCTCTATAACCTACAGCGGAGGGTAAAAGGTTAACAGGTACGAGAGAATGCTCTTTTTCTAAACAAAAGATTTCCTAATCCTTTCTTGGTTGAGCTGAAAACCTTTCAGTGCAACCTAAAAATGAGTTTGTCAAAGAATGAAAATCGAAGTGCCGGTCGTTAATCAGTGAGATTTAGAGTAATTAGTCTAGAATGGAAGACTTTTCAACAGAAATGCTTTTTGAATGTATCGACTAAACTTAGCTTCGTGTGTTGAAAGGTCCTAATTGTAGGTTTGATTAACGAGCAATCGTTTTCGAATACATTTAACACAATTATAGCGTACCTTGATACCGGGGCCTTGAATATAACAATTTTATTTCCCTGTAGAAGGGTTAAATTCCTATTTGCAAAGTCGCAAAACATGTGTATAAACATGACCTCTATCTACTTAAGCTCTCAAGTATAAAGACCATCTATGCCTACCTTTCGATAGAAGAATAAACACGACTTATCTCTACTTATAGACTCAAGTATAAACATGACCTATGTCTACCTATAGACTCAAGTAATCACACCCCAAATATGTATGTATCTATCTATCTATCTATCTATATATATATATATATATATATATACATATAAAAGTGAACATAAGTCAACACTATATGCAAATCGTGTCAGACAGTCTGCCTGACGATATGCATATAGTCATGAAACAGACTGTCGCCTCTAAGTGTTGACTTCTATGTTCACTTTTATATTTACACACGCTCTATCTCTGATATTGAGCACTTTATCCCATAAATATAGCACACCTTAAGACTATCTTTCTTCATTCATATATATATATATATATATATATATAGATAGATAGATAGATAGATAGATAGATAGATATAGCTATAGATACATACACGACAATAACATTTAAAGGAAAACGATTAACTCTTGGCTTTAAAGAACATTAATTCACTTTCATTTAACAAAATTTGACGTCACTTAACGACCTCCATATTTTTCCTTTCCTTTCGTTAAGGCCGAGAAATTGTCCAAATGAGATTTCTATATTTGGCTAGATAAATTTCCTGAAGAATGGAACGCGCCGTAATTTTTTTTTTTACTCTTATCATATCTTTTATTAATATATATTTTTATTTTATATAATTATTAATTATATTATGGCACTTTATTTAAGTGCCCATTTCATGCCAAGCAATTCAATATGTATTTCTGCCTCCCTTGACTACAACATACTCTTGTGGCAATTATAAAAAATAATTTTGATTATCAAATCATTTAAAAACATTTAGAATCATTTAACATCTAAAATCATTTAAAAACATTTTAAGTCATAAAAATATCCATAAAAGGCTAACAAAGAAATGATATAAAATGAAATTAATAAATAACTCTATTTTACTACTTAATCATGAGATATTTTGTTTTTATGATAACGGTGGTACATGGATTTACAAAGTTGGGGGTTGTCTTGTTTGGCGGCATATCAACCTCTATGGGTTATTTAATGCCGGAAATATTCAAGATATACTTTACGTAATGTGATGCTTTCAAATTTTGATATTTTTATACCATTTTATATTTTTAGGGTAAAGGTATTTTTTAGATATATAGTTAGTAGATGTAATTTAATGTAATCTTACTGTAAAAATGTAATTTTTATATTTTTTTAGTGTTGCATTTAATGTCATTTTGCTATAAAAATGTATTGTTGCTCATTTTATTATAAACATGTACTGTTGATGTTTGTTTAAGAGTTTACTATTTGCCCATAGCTGGAACCCAAACAGGTGCTACCACCCCGGTTCAAGGTGGACCTGCGAAAAAACTGCAGTTAAGAGGTGTTTCCACGCTCCTCAAAACCTCCAATCTCCCGCCTTGCTGCCAGATTTTGTTTATCCTCATACCCAGGACGATCGAATGGCATAGTATTGCTGTTAAAACTTAATAACTCATGATATATTGGGATGATAGTTTTCGTGACTGATGAAGTCATATTGTGTTTTATATATATTAAGATGTATCGTTTAAGATATGGAGGTCCTTTCATTTCATTGAAAAAGTCGATTTGGATTTTTAAAGCCTACGTGGTATAGATAAATCTGACTTGTGTCAGACAATCTAATTTCGTTGACTAGCGTTGTTTCGCCCAAAACTGCAATTGCTACCAAACCATGATATGACCCGAATACGCGAGTCTTTCTCTTAAATAATATTGTCAGATCGAAACTTTCATATAGATGTTATGCATGACGTCAAACTCGTTCAGAAATATCGAAACTGTCGGCTGTATATAACCGTATTCTCAGATCGCTGATTGAAATAGCTTCGAGCCAGTGATCGTCGCAGTGAGGATTATCCTTGTGGACAGGTGCTATGAATCACAAAGAACTATAGCGGGTAACATAAATCACTTGACTTGAGGACTTCAACATCAGTCACAGCTAAAATGAATAGCACTTGAGAGAATAGTCAATATGTTGTTGTTCCATACTACTTCAAACAAAAGATTAGGAAGGAAACCTCCATCAATACTCGACTTGGGAAACCTATTTTATTGAAAATTTATTTTAAGAAAGATTTTATAAACTTCATAAACTGGGGTCAGGTAACTCATATATATATATATATATATATATATATATATATATATATATATATATATATATATATATATTAAAATAATAAGAAAGAACAGTAAGATGCAAAATCCGGTGTTCTTATCAATTATTTTGATTAAAAAACAGTGCTCGATAGAAACAGTAGGGGATAATAATATAATTATTTTCTTTTTTTTTTAAATACGATTCCATCGTTACACATAAATGTCTATGTTTTAAAACTGAAACTAAAGTTTTAAATTTAATTATAAAATTTAACTTAAAATCCAGAGTTTCGTTCCATTGTCAAGCGATGTTAGGAATCCTAACATCGCTTGACAATGAATCAGTTTTGAAACATAGACATTCCTGTGTCGCGATGGTATCATATTTTTTTAAAAAGAAAATAATATATATATATATATATATATATATATATATATATATATATATATATATAGGTAAGTATTCCACAGTCGAAATGTCGGTGACTAAACCGACTACCACATTCCAAGTTCTTTCAAGTGAGGCTGCTTGTTAGCGAGCTTGTAGAACGAAAAATAAAACAAAACAAAAGGCGAAAGAACTCTCTGATACAACGACCAGTTAATTAGAGGTGGTGTCTCCGTAAACCACCGAGGAGAAGGCAACGGGATAGCACTCCACTATTAATCCCAAGGTATATCATGACATAATGGCAATACAAATACAATTACAATACATAATGAAAACATCTGTACTTCGCTTCTGCTCAAGCGATTTTAGCAAGTTCTCTATTCACTTGCGGCCACATCCCGTTGAAAAACGGAAGTTAAGCAACGTTGAGCCTGATCAGTATCTCGATGGGTACTTGGGAATATAAGGTACTGTAAGCTTGGATTTGAGGGTGGTGTAACGTAGAATAGCTCGGAATTGTTGTTCGTGGAGCCTAGTTCCAATTCCAGTTGGTTTCTTTATATTCACCTCCGGATAAATAGTCTTGGGAAAGGTATTAATCCACAATTTCTCCCCTCCAGCTTTGAGTTAATTAGTAAGATATATATTACTAAAACATTATTATCTCTAAAATGATATAAAATTGCGGAAAAAATATTTAAATTATGGCGTTAAATAAATCATAGAGGTCGATATACCGCTAAACAAAAAACATCCAACCAACTACTATCTACTAGAAAAAAACATGTAAATTTACAAGTATAATTATTGATCATTTTTGCTTTTATTTGTTTCGACTTAAAGTCCGAAATGCAATAATAGAAGCCATTATCAAAAATATAGAAGAATAATTCGCTAGACATTGTTCCATAGAGAGCTCCCAAAATATTTGCTCAACTTAGCGTCGTTAAAAAACGTCAAAGACTCAGTGATTATCTAACACAGTACTAAGTTAATAAAGACGGTTAATTCGCTAGCTAATCCGCCAAAGTTTGGTGCCCAAATATTTTCTCTGTCTTACTTAATACGGAGCAAAACTTTGCTTGTACAACGTGCAGGAGTGTAATGATCTGCAGAACAAATTTTGCTAACTATTGCCCCACAGTGAGGAGCTGTAGAAATTCTGATGAATACACTTTCATTTTCTTCTTAGAGTTGAGGATGAAATATTAATTTTTTTATATTATATGCTGCCCCGCTCTTTAGCAGCGTCTACATGAACAGAACACAAATGCGCGTAAGTCAGGCTACATGAACCGGACAGGCGGCGACCTGATATAAGCATAGAATTTGCGATAATATCGTTATTTTCTATTTTAATGAGGTATTGTAAGAAAGAAAGAAAGTAGGAAAGAAAGAAGGAAAGAAAGAAATAAAAAGAAGGGTACAAAGAAAGAAAGAAGGGTGGAAAAGAAATAAATAAAGAAAAAGAAAAGAAAAAAAAGAAAAAAAGAAAAGAAAGAAAGAAAGATTTTGTATTTTAATAAGTTATTGAAATAATGAAAAAAGATGGAAAGAAAATGATCGAATGTTAAAAAAAAGAAAAATGAATAAAACGATAATATTTTTATTTTGTATTTTAATGTGGTATTGAAAGAAAGAAAGAAAGAAAGAAAGAAAGAAAGAAAGAAAGAAAGAAAGAAAGAAGAAAGATAGAAGGAAATGACGTTGGAAAGAAAGAAAGAAAGAAAGAAAGAAAGAAGAAAGATAGAAGGAAATGACGTTGGAAAGAAAGAAAGAAATAAAAGAAAGAAAGAAAGAAAGAAAGAAAGAAAGAAAGAAAGAAAGAAAGAAGAAAGATAGAAGGAAATGACGTTGGAAAGAAAGAAAGAAAGAAAGAAAGAAAGAAAGAAAGAAAGAAAGAAAGAAAGAAAGAAAGAAAGAAGAAAGATAGAAGGAAATGAAAGAAAGAAAGAAAGAAAGAAAGAAAGAAAGAACGAAAGAAGAAAGACAGAAGGAAATGACGTTGGAAAGAAAGAAGGTAAAGAAAGAAGGAAAAAAGAAAGAAAGGAAATGAAAGAAAAAGAAAGAAAGAAAGAAAAAAGAAAGAAAGAAAGAAGGAAATGACGTTGAAAAAAAAAAAAGAAAAAAAATGAAAAGAAAAAAAAAAAAGAAAGAAAAAAGAAAGAAAGAAAGAAAGAAAGAAAGAAGAAAGATAGAAGGAAATGACGTTGGAAAGAAAGAAAGAAAGAAAGAAAGAAAGAAAGAAAGAAAGAAAGAAAGAAAGAAAGAAAGAATGAAAAAGAAAGAAAGAAAGAATCAAATAAATAAAATGATATGCATGTTGTACTTTTACAAGATCTGGACCCAGGCATAAGTTAATGAAATTATTGCTTCCATCACTGAACCACTGAGGTCACGTGTGCACATTTGGAATAAAATTGGATTTGCAGTAACTGTCCTGTGGGGGAATGATACATCACTACAAATTCACTAGAGGAAGACGTGACCAGTGCTGTCCGAAAAACGACTGGAAGGGAGGGAACTACTTAGTGCCGGCGCTAATGTATGTCACGGGGTCAGCGTTGATGCTTGAAAGCGCTGGAAAAGTAAGACACAATGCAGATAAGGACAGGGCGGAGTCTACGTTTATTGACTTGAAATTAGCCAATGGCCACGCGAAATGTACACGTTTTTGGATTTAAGATCGGCATATATAAACACGGAAAGGCGAAGTTGGACCAGTGGTTATCAGCAAGGAACGGGATATCAGCAAACTGAGTTAAATTCTCAGCAAGGGATGTTTCAGTTTACTATTCCGCTTAGCCTTCTTCGTATATACGCCGTGTCCATTTAGGTCATTGACGACTATGCCTCTCCACAACTTCCTAACCTCTGAGCAGTGTTTCTCTCTTTACTATCCTTCCCGGTCTTTGTTCTGCTTTCTATTTACATATGTCCGTTACGTAGTTTACTCCATCTGTAACTCCCAGCTTCATTATTTCATTTGAGTGTCAAATTCACAAAACGATCTTTTCTCATTGTATAGTGTAACCCGGATATAAGAGAAACCCGGATATAAGAGAGATTTTCTCTGGTCCCAAATTAGAGCCTGTGTTAATGTATATAAAATAGACCAAACCCGGATATAAGAGAAACCCAGATATAAGAGAAACCCGGATATAAGAGACTTCTCCGGTCCCGACAACTCTCTTATATCCGGGTTACACTGTATATACAAGGCTTACGGCCGCATCACGTTAAAGCATAAGTTCCCGTACGATGAACGATGTTAAGCAATGTTCAGACTAGTCAATATTTTGACGGGTGACCGTTTGGCAATACCAGGTGCTGTAAGCTTGGGTATGGGGGTGGTGTATTGAATAATGGCTCTGAATTTTTAATCGGGGAGTCGAATTTAATTTTCCGTTGGTTACATTATATCCACTTACGTGCAAATACCTTTAGGTATGAATTTTCTCTTCTCTCCCCCACTGTTGGTTAATTACAATGATTTGGTTTGGTTTGGTTTGGTTTGGTTGGTTTGGTTTACGGCATATCAACCACAATGGGTTATCTAATGCCGAAAATTTTTATAGCCGGTTATGCTTAGGCGCCTCAGCGTGGTGTAATGGTTAGAAAGCTGGTTTTGTTACAACTGAATAGTGAGTTCGATCCTCACTGGGTGACGCATACTTTCGGCCATGTGCCACATCTAAGCCTCGCTTAGAAAATTAGTAGGTTAACCCATACTTTCGGCGTTGTACCACATCTAAGCCGGGCTTAGAAAATCACTATATTTTCCTTAAAAAATGAATTGCTAGTAATATTTTTTTCTTCAAAAATCTATATCTGGCAATATTTTTCTTCAAAAATATATCGTTGGTAATATTTTTCCAAAAAATGTATAGCTGGTAATAGTTTTTTTTTTTTCTTTTTTTTTTTCAAAAATGTATAGCCTGTAATAATTTTTTACATTTTATTTCTGGTATTAAAACCTATTTGTACACGTTCATAGTGTTTTGACGCCAGTTTAGGAGAGGGTTAACTATTTGCCCATAGCTGGGACCCTAACAGATGCTACCACTCCGGGTCAGGATGAACCTGGGAACACCAGAAATTAAGAGGTGCTTCCATGCTCCTCAAAACCTCCTGATCAGAGGCCTTGCTGTTGGACTTAGTTTATCGTGTTTCCCAGGAGGCGGATGTAGTTTATCGTCATACCCAGGACGGTTATCACAATGACTTTCATTACTAAAACCATTATTGTCGCAAAAAATAAAACATTGCATACAAAAAGTATTTAAATAATTTCTTGCACTTCTAAAAACCATTTTCTGTTTTTCATCTGCAAGGGGTTGGTAATCCGTAGAAAAGGAATCAATCACTCTTTATGTATCCAAGTAATTTCAAATGTCTCCTGATTTTAACTATAATATTTTTTATTTTCATTTTCCTTATAGCTTCCTGGCATATATTTTTCATTCTTGGCATTCTCAATATCCTTCGGTAAATGTACAGCTGTGTTACCGTAAGTCTCATCTTTAATAGGGAAAATTATCCAGCATTTATTGCCATAGAAGACGATTGATATTATATAGCAGTTCAGCATTATTTCCTATCTTTAGAACTAAACTTAACGGTTTCTTAATACGTTGTTGAGTTTTTGAAAGGCGACATTTGTTATCCCATTGTAACTTTGGATTTCGGTATCCAATTTTGTCTTCATCTAAAACACTTCTCAGTTCACTTTCTGCTCTTGGCTGTTGTGACTTATCGATGAGAAGCTTACGCCCTGGGCTGTCTCTCTTGCTAATAATTGTAGATTTCACCTCACTTTCCTTGTCAAACAGTCCTTGCAGTTTACTGTCTGTGTCATCTCGGTAACTTATGTTGTTCAGATTACGACATCCTCGAATGAATACCAAGATAATGTTTTTTTTTTATTTTTTTATTTTTATTAGAGCTGGATTTTGAAATTTAACACAATTCGCTAATTCTATACCATTTCGGTAGACCGACTCTCATCTAGCGCCTGTACAATAGGTGATGCCTTTGTGTGTGTTTGTGAAAATGTGTGTGTGTATTTTTGTCTACATTGACCTTTTTGACATAAACTACCACTGCTCCATTCTTGATTACGTGAGCATGTGTATTTAGTAAGCATATCTTCATTTAGTATAAAAACCACAACTAGAGGATATATATATATATATATATATATATATATATATATATATATATATATATATATATATATATATATATATATATATCCTCTAGTTGTGGTTTTATATATATAGTTGTGGTTTTATATATATATATAGTTGTGGTTTTATATATATATATGACCATGGAATATTAGTGTTTAAGCCTTTTTTATTATATCCTTACTCTGTCCTAGACATTGAGTTCTACCTGGATCCTTCCTCTTGGAAAATTTTTTCTGAAAATATACATGTATGGGAACTTTTTAGATATATTTTCATATGTATGTATATTTTCCACTAATATTATATATATATATATATATATATATATATATATATATATATATATATATATATATATATATATATATACGTATATCTTGTGTTTTTACTTTTATATTATATATATATATATATATATATATATATATATATATATATATATAAAATGGAATACGCATACTAAGTCTGTGTTCTCCCACCTTTTCTAACTGGAATATGATTGGCTGGGAGAGAGGCAGTGAGCAGCCCAGATATTTCTGAGCGACTGTTGGTACGACTCTCTTCCTAGAGGACAAAGGAGGCTACGTCTGAGGGCGGAGTCTATGTTGGGGCCCTGAACCCGTTTATCTTCAACTAATAATGGACTGGTCCCCCTTATATAAGCCTTGTGCACATGACACCCTCTGGGGGAGAGGCATATCTGAGCAGCCCAGATACTTTCTGAGCGACTGCTCGGTTTCAACTCTCTTCCTACGGGCGAGAGGAACCCGAAGGAGGCTACGCCGAAGGGCGGAGTCTCCTTCGGGAGGTTAAACTTTATACGGGTTCAAATGGCCCGAGTTTAAACCCGCCCACGTTATGACGGGGGTGACTGAATATCTGAAAGATACTTTTTTGAGCGACTGCCGTATCAACTCTCTTCCTATGGCTACGCCGAAGGGCGGAGTCCTTCGGGAATGCCCAAACCCGTTTATAAAATGGCCTTGTGGCTCGAGAATGCCCACGTTAAAAAGGCCTTTGTGCGACACCCTCCTGGGGGTGACTGAATATCTGAGCAGCCCAGATACTTTCTGAGCGACTGCTCGGTTTCAACTCTCTCCTACGGGCGAGGGAACCCGAAGGAGGCTACGCCGAAGGGCGGAGTCTCCTTCGGGAGGTTAAATTGGCCCTGAACCCGTTTATACGGGTTCAAATGGGCTATTTTTGGCCGAGCCTAATGGCTCAGGGAATGCCCACGTTAAAAAGGCCTTTGTGCCACATGACACCCTCGTGGGGGGTGATTGAATATCTGAGCAGCCCAGATACTTTCTGAGCGACTGCTCGGTTTCAACTCTCTTCCTACGGGCGAGAGGAACCCGAAGGAGGCTACGCCGAAGGGCGGAGTCTCCTTCGGGGAGGTTAAACTGGCCCTAAACCCGTTTATACGGGTTCAAATGGGCTATTTTTTGCCGAGCCTAATGGCTCAGGAATGCCCACGTTAAAAAGCCCTTGTGCCACATGACACCCTCCTGGGGGGTGACTGAATATCTGAGCAGCCCAGATACTTTCTGAGCGACTGCTTGGTTTCAACTCTCTTCCTACGGGCGAGGGAACCTGAAGGAGGCTACGCCGAAGGGCGGAGTCTCCTTCGGGGAGGTTAAACTGGCCCTAAACCCGTTTATACGGGTTCAAATGGGCTATTTTTGCCGAGCCTAATGGCTCGGGAATGCCCACGTTAAAAAGGCCTTTGTGCCACATGACACCCTCGTGGGGGGGTGACTGAATATCTGAGCAGCCCAGATACTTTCTGAGCGACTGCTCGGTTTCAACTCTTCCTACGGGCGAGAGGAACCTGAAGGAGGCTACGCCGAAGGGCGGAGTCTCCTTTCGGGAGGTTAAACTGGCCCTAAACCCGTTTATACGGGTTCAAATGGCTATTTTTTGCCGAGCCTAATGGCTCGGGAATGCCCACGTTAAAAGGCCTTTGTGCCACATGACACCCTCGTGGGGGGTGATCGAATATCTGAGCAGCCCAGATACTTTCTGAGCGACTGCTCGGTTTCAACTCTTCCTACGCGCGAGAGGAACCCGAAGGAGGCTACGCCGAAGGGCGGAGTCTCCTTCGAGGAGGTTAGTCTGGCCCTGAACCCGTTTATACGGGTTCAAATGGGCTATTTTTTGGC